TGCTGCAGCCCTTCATATTTAAATGACATGGTCATTAGATGATTAGATTACATTAGATTCAACTTTGTTGTCATTGCACAGAGTAGAACTACTGAGACAACAACATGCATTTTAGCATGAAATCCAAAGTGAGTACATATTGGCAACAGTGAAACATTATCTGGGTTGGTGGGCGTGTCGGCTGTTTCTGAGGCTGGAAGCCATTAATGAGTGTGTAAATGCTTTTGAACACACAATTTTTGTTAAAGTTGTGGACAACAATTAACTTTCACTGTCACTGCTTTATACTTGAGTAGTGTAGTTACCGATTAAACTTGCACTAGTCAATATTTTATGTCTCTCACACCAAAGGCATGTGTCCTATCCACTGCAGAGAGAATCTTGGACTTCCATTTGCCATATAAAAAACATGACTTGAATGCTAACGTTGCTCCGTGTCTGCAGGCAACATGCTAGCAATGGTTGTCAGAACGTCCTAAAGATAAGTCAAAGTTGTGTTTTCAGTTTGTTGCACTGCTCCCAAGTGGCCAAAGAAAATCAGTAACTGCAGCTCCAAGAACAATTTGCAACAAATACGTCTTTACTTTTCTTAATTCAGAAAAATCTTCAGTGCTGGCCTTTTACTTATAAAAGAGTAGTTGTTGCTTCCTGACTAACATGTCAGTAAAGTACATTTATTTGATATGGTCATTTTAAGATCTTTTATCAGCAATGTTATTTTGTTAGCTTGCCATTGGAGGAACATGCTCTTTGATTACGCCCTTGAGGTTGGCAGTATTAGTGTTACTTTGTCTGTTATATTGATCGTCCATCTCTTCCTTCTCATTTAAAGTGATAAATCCTGTTTGTTTTTGTATTGGATAATTAGGGAGTTCTTGGCTCCTATTCTCATTGTGCCAGTGCTAATCAGTGTTCCCTTAATTGTTTTTATCAATCGCAGGCCTGGCTTTGCCTCCAGTCATAGCGCTGCCTTCACTATGTTTTTTATCCTTTCACAAACTGCAGGCTCTGCTCTCTCCATGTAGCTTCTGCAAGAGAAAAAATTCAAGGCAAAAACAGTCTCATGCAGCAGAGGTACATTTCTGAGAGCAAAAATTATATCAAGCACATGACAGCCATGTACTGCTACAATAAAACACCATAACTCTCTGCCTCAGGTGCTGCTGCAGTGCGTGTCACTGTAGAGGAAGCTGGACAAAAATGTCCTCATGTGTGACCTCACAAATGATACAGTGCAGCAGAGGGCTTGGGAGATTTATGTTCCACATCCTCTCGTTAAATAAGCACAGGGCCCCCGAAACAACATCTGCAGGCAATCTTGACTAACCCTCCCACCAGCCTCGCCATGCCAGCTGGGCCCCCGGATTCCCTGGTCACAGCACTAGGGGTCACGACCTCCTTGTACAAAGCGTGGATACGGACCATGGTGGAAAAGGGAACCGCAGATCATACAAGTCAAGAGGCCACGATAAAATTTCCATGCTGCTCCCAGGAAATGGATTCATCTATCTAATCGGGTCAAAGGTCACACATTGGTGGAAACAGAGACCATGACCGGAAGTGGAATACAAACATTATGAACATTATTCATTTTTAATATTATACATTAAGATGGCTTTCCGAAAGATACTGCGTGAAAAAAGTAAACAAATCCACACTTTGGGGGAAAGGACATATAAGAGCCTATCCATTCAGTGTTAGACTGTTTTTCCTTATTCTAATGTCTTGTTACGCCACTTGTTGAAGATGAATGGCAGGGCGCATGTGCTTGTTGCAGGAAGCCACCTCATCATGTCACCAGATTAGATGATAACTGCACAATTTGTAAGCTTACAACTGCTTCCTCTCAAGAGGAACAAGTGGAAATGTTGAGTGCGACTTCAGCATGCACAGTTACAGTACATCTTAGCAGATTCGAAAAACTTGAGTTTCTAGTGATTATAGACCTTTATCTATTTATCTTTTAATGGTTGAATTACACTTGTTTATATGAGCCATTACATGTCCTCCGAGCGTATTGACTTTATTAGGTACACCTACACAGCCTAATGCAATCCAATGCAGCTGAATAAAGTCTACTCTTACGATGCCTGTAATGTTCAGTTTTTGTTTGTGATAGAGGCGTTAATTCAAGTAAATGTTTTAGGATTGAGTTCATAGTGATGCTGTTGTATTGTACTGCATTTTAATATATTATATTATTTTTAATATTCTGACAGCCTCATGTATGTAAATTGGATGGACAAAGAATTAGAAACACTATGAGCTCAGTAGGGCTGTCCCCGACTAAGGACTCGAATCAGAATCACCAAGTCCTGCCTATAGTCGACTGATAGTCGAATCATGTGTGTTTTTGTGCACGGTAATTGCGAACTGAAGCTAAACTGATTATCCATCCATCCATCCATCGTCAACTGCTTATCCTGCGTACAGGGTTGCGGGGCCAAAACTGATTATGAGCTTTGTAAAGATAGATGTTATTGCTGAGCTACTGCTACTTAACAGTCAGTTAAATATGCAAACCAAAGACCTCATTTGACAAAACAATCCAAAATCATAGTCCAATTACTACTTTTTTCAGTTCAGTTGTCATGGAGATGGGTCTCTTGACATGCAATGTCAAGTTTGTGATCAGTACCCATTTATATATATATATATATATATATATATATATATATATTGTTCTTATCATTCTTTTCAAGAGACCCTCCATGACAACTGATTTTTTTATAAAACACCAAATACTGAGATTTCTGAGTTTGGGCTGATTGCTGGTGAGTGGGGGGTTGGTTAGGGTTGGGTCCTGGTTTCAGGAGATTGCTGGTGGAGTGTGGCGGGAAGTAAACCAGTAATTCTAGTGGCTGGCAGACAGAGCAGGTTGTTCCAGGGTTCAGTCAGTGGTCTGGTAGGTGGCTCCTGGAGACGGGGAAATCCAATTAATAGAGCAAAGTAAGCAAACAAGGAGGTTCTCAAAAGCTGATAAGTTATCAGACAGACTAGTTGGCTGACATGAGTGCATACTCAAAATGACTCAACATTCTGGCCAGGACTGGGCTTATAAAGGGCATCGTGATTGGCAGGATGAGGATCAGGTGTGCAGAGGAGTAAGCAGAGCCGGGTGTGTGAAGGCGCCAACCGGGGAACTCCCACCAGACCGTGTGGAGGGAGACAGAACACAGAGAGACAGACAACAACCAAACACACCAAGTACACAAAAAGGCTAATAAAAAATAAATCAAACACACACTTACTCCTATATCAATTGTCACTGTGGCAGAGTCACAGAAGGGGGGCAGTGATATGCAAGCCTCAGTGGTTCTGAGCAGACTTCTCATGTCATGATGTCATCAGATCCGATCCCATGAGAAACTGAGCAAACCTCATCCGCTGACTTAAAACTACTAAATAAAGCTAATAAGTGGGCCTTAAGTTGACGTTTGCCAAACTGGATCAAGAACAAATGTTCATACTTAACTCCAAGTCTATTTGGTTTCTTTGGAAACGTTCGGATCTTCACTAGAATTTTAAATCAAGTTCTCTGGGTTTGGACAATGTTTGGCTGCACAGCGTGAGTTTGTAATGACAGCTGACAGCCACTTGTAGGCTATATTTACTTCAGATTTATTGAAACAGAGCAAAGGATGCAGATTTTGAAAATAAAGAGGAGGAAATGAACCTTACCAACAAAACCACTTATGTCAGTGTAACAGGAATAGGTCTCACGCTACGGATCACTGTGTGACCACATAGCCTACTATCATGAGCTTCTGGAGCAAACTGCATGAATAAGAACTGAGAGCAAAAGATTTATATTGTAAACCTGTGAGATTGTAGTGTCTGGAAAGGTTGTCTTGTGCTGCATCCACCAGTAGATGGCGTAGTTTTGTTGGAAGACATAGACAGAGTTGTTCGAGTCGCTTCTCTGAGGCTGTCGCACCATGAAAACGAGAATACGCACTTCAGTGCTTTCTGGCCATCTCCTACTCACACACTGAGTAGTTGTGACAGGATGCTGACTCCAGCTGATAAGGCTGTCAGCCACACACACTTTCCTTCAACTTCACTCTAAGAAGTGTTTTCTTTTGGTGTGTCTGAGGGCAGCATCCATTCAGGTTGGTGATGAGGCAGCTTAAGGAGAATTCTGTAAGCCGAAAACAAGTCTAGAACAGAAGTGTGTCCACGGCCTATGTGAAGAGGAAGTCCATGAGGCATAACCGACATCACATTTCTAACCGCTTTCGCTTTAGGCCATTGTGACACAAAGGAAGCTGTATTTTTAGTTCGTTCAGCTTCTTGACTCGCAGCCTTTACTGTGAACATACAGGGCGATATGGGTCACACATCTTAATTAAACGGTGCATCATAACCAGTTTTGAGTTTATATAATTTTATAGTAGGCAAATATCACAGAAGCACCATAAGACATCAGTGACAGCAGATGACAGACTGATATAGGCTATTGAAATGATGACCCTGCAAGGCTTTTTCTTATGCAAAATTGATTAAATATAACCTTTAGGTACTTACACCATAATTACAGGACACATATGCCTTAACATAGGCCTACTCAATTAAAAAAAAGATTCTCTGAATTAGTTTATTTTGGTTCCACCATAATATTTTCTGCAGATGTTCAGTGAGCCGTCCTCAACGGTTTCTTTTCCAGCAGACCAAGTGGAAAATTCATCCCAATCCATGTTACCTGATAGGCTTTTCAAAAACGTGGTGTAATTTGGAACTGTTTCGGGGAAATTAAATTATGCAAGGAGCAGCGTTTGCTCATTTGCATTTCGCCTCTCACCACCTAAAAAAAACAACTCGTAGACGCTGAAATCTACGTTCTTAAATGGTGTGGAGGTTAGTTAACTGTTTGCTGTAACACGGGGTTGAAGATATCGTCCAGCAGGACGTGCATCTGCCGCAGACGCGCAGAGTTGCGTTGAAGCAACAGGCGGTAAAGCGCACTGAGAGGGGAGCCTGTGCTGGAAATGAATGCTAAAAATATCATCCCTCCAGATCCACACTGACACACACACACACGCACTGTACCCACAACTTCTTGTTTTGTCAGACTGTACAGCTCCGCGCACAGGACAGCCGCGGTGGATGTCTGTACGCGCGGCGGCAGTTGAGTGAATGGCTTGAGAAAAGGTTGATGCGAGAGGAAGAGGGCGGTCAAAGTGTGACGCCTAACAGTGTGCCTTTCTCTGCCAACGGTTTCACTCCAAGTCATCGCCTGTTAGACTGCGTCTCAAGTGTAATTTGTCGTTCGGGTCACAGCTCCCGCCACAGGACACGCATGCTTGAAAAGACCTCCGCGCACTTGATGCCCGCTTTGGTGATGCCATGCCCCGGAACCACAGCGGAGACGAAGGCGGCACCGGGCTCTGGATGAGAACATCGCCGGGGCATCGTAACGAAGGCTACGGCTCGAAAGATGTGGAGTCCGGACGAAGGATGATGAACAACGCGGGAGACGGTTTGCTGTCCACCTCCACGGCAGCAGGTGCTGCCGGGTCCGAGAGCCTGAGGGGGAAGCAGGGAGCCCGGCTCAGCCTGCTGGGGAAGCCGCTCATATACAGCGCCCAGAGCGGCCGGAGAAACGTGCGCTACCGGCGGCTGCAAAACTACCTGTACAACGTGCTGGAGAGACCGAGAACATGGGCGTTCATTTATCATGCTTTTGTGTAAGTTTATTTCCATAATTTGCATGTAGGATAGTCTGTTGTCAAGATCTGAAGTTGAACACCTGTTGATGCTGTTCCACCCTCATTGCAGGCACATGCTTTCAGACACATTTCGTAACAGCTCAAATGTCAGAATGGTACAGCCGTGGTTTATCTAACAGGAGCAGACCATTCTACCCCAGTCTTGCATATCTTCACGCGTTACTTTGTCACTTTTCTATATAATGGCCGACACAGTGGAGTCATGAAAATAGGCTCAGGGTGAGCACCTCTTCACCATATCCAATTTAACAGAAAATCCATTCTCTGTTTGAATTAACCCTTAAAAATCCATGTCCAGGTTTATGATACAAAGAGAGGCTTACTGCAACGTCCTTGATGACTGTACAGGAGCCTTTGTTTTGTTCAGCGGAGCTTAAATTTAAGATTTAACACACTTGCACTAGAATTACAGTTTCACTAAAATATGAATATGTAGAAATAAACATCAAAGACTGGTTGTTTTTTTTCAGTTTATTTTCAGTTACTTCTGCATTCACGAGGCCTTCATTGGTTCACATCTTTACTTTAAGTTTCACATCTATACTGTTAAAAACAAAACACAGTTTCTGTTGACTCCTGAAAGCCAAAAATCAGGAACATCTTCAGCTTTGCTGTCTGCCCGCTGTCGTTCTTGGCTTCCCAACCAGCTGCATTTGATTTCCCGCATGCGACTGTTGTTGTGGCATCATGACTGTTGACTGAGAGGAAGGAAGTTGAGACACATGCTGACTGTGGAGGTTTTTTTTTTGGTGTGTGGGTGGGGTTTGTGTGTGTCCATGCACTAAGAGGAGTGTTTGCAAAGAGGATGGGTGAGTCTGCTTTGCTTGAGCTGTTGCATTAATCCAAGCAGCACGTGAAACTGGTCACTTTTATTTTTTTAAGGCATCCTTGAAGTAGCTTCTATTTCAAATAGGGGGCAGGCCTGCAGGATCCCTGTTGGGGGAGTTCATGTGTGTGTGTTATGTGTGCTATAGCCTACTCAGTGAAGTTTATAGTGAACTTTGGAAATATCTTTTTTTTTTTTTAAGAAATTGTAGCAATTGCTACTGTTGCAAAACATCCTGATTTTTACAGGTAATTTCAGAGTATAGGCGTAGCACAGAGAAGTTAATTATGAAACAGGAGGTGTTAGAAGTTTTGGTGATGTAAGAACTACTCACAGTGCTACTTGGTGAACAACTGTAGCTGGCAAGTTATTGGCTAAACACACTAGCAAGCCACAAACACACTGGCGCTTGTCTGAGCTTCCCTCTGGCTGTCCATAGCTAGCTTTCTAAAGTAGCAAGCTTGTTAGCTTGGTGGCTAAGCAGGCAGTACATTTTGTTTATTTAAAATGCATTTGTGCAATTTACTTTATCTCAACTCCCAACAAAGTGGATGAGCCAACACAGCTGATAAGCTACCACAGCGTCCTCCATTCTGGACTCTCCGGCTCCCTGTTTCTTCCAAGATGGACCGGACATGCTAAGAGTTATAGTTAGAGGAGCTTATATTTCTACAATCAAATCCAGCATTCGTCCAAGAGGAGTTTGAGACAAACACCTCATTATTTAAACTGATGTGCTTCAACATTTTCTTATCTAGAGCTGTAGTGGCCTACATTTGAAAACACAATTGTAAATAAGGATTAAACAAACCTTTTACACAATGTCCTGTTGCTTTTTAAGGTAATTTATAGAATCTCCTTTCTATCCAACACAGAGGAGGATAATATTTATGGTGGTGTGAAAGTGTTTCAGACATCAGTTCAGTCTCCGTTCTTTACGAGGCCGGTCCAGCCTTTGTGGGGTCAAAGAGGTTTTGTGATGATGCCACTGCCCATCATAGAGGTCATTCACCTAAATGATGACTTTCCCTATCCTCGTATATTGGGGCTATAACTTAAGAGGGACACCACTGGATTTCCTTTTGTCCACTTCAGTCTACACTTTTGCTAAAAGGTTGACTCAAATATGCTAATTTACCTGTGAAAGTGTTGACTCATGCACACCCACGAGGTTCCATGGACTCTAACCCTTTTCTCTTCACATGAGCGCTCATGAACGTTGAAGGAATAATTTTCTTTCATCCCTGTGGCAGTGAGCTTGAACTGGTGAAATGGATGGACTAAACTCCCACTCAGCCCTTTGCTCTCTCTCCTGTGATTTTTTTCCGCGATGATGGTTAGTGGCCTTGAAAGTTGCACTGGTCTGCTGATACGACAGTTGTTGCAGTTGAAAGCGTCACTGTCCAAGTTTTCATCTACAAAATAACATCATTCACGTCCAGCTGTTGATAAAGCTAGTTGTGTTTCACATTTAATGCTATTGCAAACCTGAGGAGCATATTTATCAATGTTTCTTTAAACCAGATTTCTGCACATGGAGCATTTAAAACTGCTGTTTCTGAGTCAGTTTACAAAGTGGCAAACAAAATCCCTCCTTAGCCTTTTTAGGGCCCAGGGTGTGAATTTGCTTGAGAACAGGTGGTTAAAATGTAGGATTGGGCAATAAAACAATAATAATAATTTTTCCCAATTACAATAACTCTTAACACTTAATTTTTCTATCAAAATATTTATTTTGTTGAGGAAAAGGGACTGAAAAAAGATTTACTTTATAAATCATCCACACACAAGACGCTGATAGTTTTCACTGTATAGTTGTTTGTTCAATCATTAGATATTGTACTACAAAATATGTGATACATGTTTCAATTTGATACTACATGTAAATACGTCACTGTAAAAGAACTGGTAGAGAAAATAGAACAGGCACAGTAAAATCCCAACATAGGTGTGTTTGAATCAAAGCAAAATTATTAGCAACAAAAAACGACAGTATAATGGTGTTCCTCACCTGGCTTACTGTAGAAAGCAAACAAAGGATGGATCACTGTGCTTCCTTATTCCCTTCAACCTTGTCTTGTGAATGTGGCTACAGGTTCTCATCCACATCACAATGAATGTTTTCATTAGCCAAACATCTTGGGAAGAATCTTTGGGCATGGTGAATCCAGGCCGGACACTGATCTGCCGTGATGTCATTGCATACACCATCCATGGCCCATGATCCATTATCATCATTATCCATGATTTCCACCGACGCTTTCTTTTGAAAAATGGCATTGTGTTGGTGTTTTGGGGCTAGAATTATAGTAATTTCTGTGATTACAAATGTCAATAAAGTTTTCGGTGCAGAAGGGTGACTTGTTCGTGAAGGTGCTCACCGTATGTGGAGAAAAATCCTCAGTTTGGTTAAGGACAGGAGAGTATGGGGGTAGATACAGGGTGGTAAATTGTGGAGGGCCCGAAAACATTCTTGCACCATTTGAGCATGGTGGAACCTTATCCCACACAAGACTTCAGACCTGATTTAGCTCATCAAGGAAGGTTTCAAGGAGTACTGCATTATATGATCCAGTAAGAGGTCTGCACCCCACAACACCATCTTACGATATAGCTGCACACATGGCGATGTTGGCCCTGCTCTGTGCAGGCACTTGGATTGTTGCCCGCTGGCCAATGAAATTCCGACCTCTCCTCCTTGTCTTGGCCAGGTTCAGTAATGAGCTGGCAGTAGTGGCTAAGCAATTACAAGGGCAAATCTGAAACATGGTCCAGAAAAGTGGTACGTGGGACCATAGGCACAGTGTCTGAGTAGTCAGTTTTACGTCCATGAATAATGTTGTCCAGTCGGTTCAAATTTAACAGTACCTGGTGTCAGTGGATCTCATTATCCTGAAACCTTTTAATGGTCTAAACATGGAATATTGTTCATTAGTTTCAATAAAACTATGCATTAAGAGTAATGCAGCAATAAGTTATCATTCTGGGCAGGTGTTTCCATTGGTAGTTAGATCATTGTTATGAAATGAATAGACAGTCGTTTCAAATGTAATGTGTGAATAGTGTTTTAAAACTGTAATACTTTGATGTTAATTTGTGCCATTTTGAATAGGTGACCTAAGTTCAATGAACAATGATCTTAGCTGGATTGTATCCAAGCAATTGAAAAAAAAAGTTAGAGTTTTGAAAAATGGGCATTTTGATCATCGGTTGGGAGATTTGTGTCTAGCGCCAGAGTGATTGGAAAAACTGTATTTGAAAAGAGAAGCCTTGTATGTTGGTGGTCCCATGACAGGATGTTTTATTTAGATGGTTGCCTTGGGTACCTTTGTCACAAGCCGTTCCTCATACCCACATTGGATGAAAATTTGCTGCATTCCCTTAATTACAAACTGATACCCGACACTAGAATGTCCCTGAGTCAAATAGTGAATTTGCATCATCTCAGTAAAGAAGGAATCGGTGTTCTTCTCTCCTGCCATGCTGCTTTGTGATGTCAACTGTAAGGAAGGCCATAGTTCTACATAAAACTTGAGCCAGCTGTATCTTTGAATGGTCTGTAGTTATTTCAGTATGTTATGCAAGAAGCATAATTATTATAATCAAATGTAGGCTGACAAGATAAACTCAAAGCAATGCAATCTGTTAAGAATAGAAGTTCGACCCCACCCTGCATACATTAGAGCTGTGTAAGCCACCTGGGCCTGCTGCAACACACTCCTGTGCCTTTCATCGCCTGGGTGCAGGAGAGCCATGATTACAGTGAAACTGATGTAACTGCAGCGAGCTGAATGGTGAAGAAGAAACTTGCACATTTCTTTGCTGTATATTTGAGTCCATATACAAGCAAGAATCAGAATAATAAGCAAAAAGATCCACACATGTCCAATAACCACTTGGGGGCAGCGGAAACAAGTTGTGAACACAACATTGGCATATCATCACCTTTTAAGTTGATATGGTAAACAGTCATCAAGCTTTTTCTAATTTACACATTCAGTTACGGAGCAACATTAGCTTTCATTTGGAGTCATGTTTCTGGCCATCTGATGAATGTAAGTTCTGTATTCACTCTCTCTTTTAGCTCTGTTTTTGGTCTCTCCTGTGGTTTCCACCAACCCCTGATGCTGAA